GAGCTTTGACTCATTCGTTATCTATCGTCGGTAGAAGCATCTTTGCTTAATTTTTGTTGTTTTCAACTGGCACCTTGTTGAAAATGAGAACGATATGGGCGAGAAAGGTGGGGTGAACAATATGTGGAAGTCTTTCGTATAAGCGGTCTTGAAGAATAGTGTGCAGTTTCAATCATATTTTGTAGTTAATGACATTGTATAATCTGCGCTCGGTCTTTCGCTGAGCATAACATTAAGTGTATTTCCGTTTTAGAAGAGCTTAGAGCAGAGTTCGGCGCTTGGCAATTTAGTAATTACAAAAGTTTATCTATCGCAAGCACTTTTGCGCTGTTTAATGCCTCGTTAATGCTTCATTGCCTCTCTAGTATTTATATTAAGCTTCAACTTCAAATCGAACTGTTTGGCTTTCCCAGTCCTTCCAACATCCTTGTGTTTGCTTGAACTTTTTAATTTTTTCTGTGCTACTTTTAGTATGATTTTTAATCAGGCAAAGTTTGCTTTTACGTCCAGAGTATTTTGCCCCGTTCACTCTGCTCACTTAATTCCAGAGTTAATTCCTTTGACCTGCTAGTTTGGCCAACAATTGTTTTGTTTTAACAAAATAAGTTTCGCGCTTTCTCCCCAAAAAGTCCGTTTTATCTGTCTAATGTTTTACAACTTTTCGCTTACAATTCTATAAATTTAGTTTTCTCCTGGAAAGCTATAACTTCGTTGTTTTAACTACTTATACACTTGCATACATACATATGTACATATATTTTTTTTTGTTTTTTGTTCAGTTTTGCAATGAATACTATTGTTTTTTTTTTTCAAAACTGCAGAGCTGATCTTTATTCGGAGTGGAATCTGTATGCATCCCTGTCAGGCTTTCATGTTTCCTCAGATCTCTCAATTTGACCGAATATACTCGTATGTATGTGTAAACAGCTCCAAAAATGTATGTACATGTGTAAATCAAGACAACTTCTATGTTGTGGGAACAATTTTCAAAAACAATTGAGTGAGCGGAACATACGTATATAAGCACAGAAGTATGCCAATATGTTTATTTCCACTACAACTTTTGTATGTTATTGTTATTGTTTACAAAATATTAGCACAGACCAATGGGAACAATAAAACAAAAAACGTTGGAAAACTTTCGAAAGTGCAGAGGCACTCGGCCATATTGGCTACTTGCGGTCAACCAACAATTCAACTCAAGTCAGCTCACTTTTGAACAACCAACTTTCAACTCACTCAATTCCAATCAAATTGAATCAGTAACATGAATTAGATGTGGCACCAGCAAAGACGGATGAAAACAACTAAGAACCAGCTCATATGTACGAATATATGTTACATAGAGAGACGCAACTTCTATGCAATTTACATAAAGGGGTTTTCGTTTAGGCAGCACCGAAGTTAAATAGAGTTAAAATATTACCTTTTATTTTTTATTTAAACAATCTTGTGCTCCACTAATATATAGGTATGTAAAAAGAAAACAGGAAAGTGACACTATATTTTCGCAAGAGTTTCTCTGAATGATATAAATAAGGGAGATTTGAGTCAAAGTAAATCGGTTGGCATTATATTCGGTTCTTATTGAAACCCCTGTAGGCGCGTTTAAAAACATTTTGACTATTTTGTTTTGAGCATAAATGTTACAAAAACAGAGTATTTGAAACGGTATGGCTTTACCTAAGCAAGCCTTTAAAAACACCACTCAACAGGAAAAATGCTCGACTTTTTACAGTAAAAAATAATTGATATATACAAATTTCGTAAGTACATATTGGGGAGATTTGCATAAGAAAATAAAAGATTCGCTAATAAGTAATAACAAGCATACGAGCATATTGCATTTCCTTGCGAAGATTTGATTGAAGCATTAATTTCCGAAAAGCGAGCGGGGACCTAATGTAAAAATTCACAATCCTAAAATTTGTCGAAACATTCACTGAATCCCCACAAGTATGTTGGTTGTTCTAACTTGTTCTTGTTGCGAGAGTATAAAAAGTATGTGTTGATCGAATATATGTACATATGTATATTGAAAATATTTTGCAATATGTCCGATAGTCACAAGTATTTGGAATTTATATTTCTAACTAGGCATCCCTCACTACTAAAAATTTGCATGTTCGAGTTTAACAGTGAGTGGTTGGTTAAACGTTTTAACAGAGAAAATAAGCATCTGCATACTTATCTCTTCCGGTGTAGTGAAATGCTACGCCCAAACTTCTCCCCAAATGGTAGTCAGGACACTGGGCATGTGTACCTTGGTCTCGATTTATGGCACAGTTGCAAATTGATTGTTCATCGTTATCTTGTGGCACTGAGATATCACTGCTCCATCACCATTACCGTTATCATCATCAATCTCTGCCACAACTATTGTTTCTATATCTTATTCTCAAACTTGTGGCCACAAAGTGCAATTTGGTAGTGATTCTAGAAGAGAGTGTGGAGCGACATCGACGAAGATCTCTGCATTTCAAATAGAACATTGAGTGACTTTACGGAATTTATATTATGAGACAGAAGAAAATTGATATTTTTGCAAAGACGATGCGACTGATTTTATGAGCTTACGAAGTGTGTGTGCATTGTTTTCCTTGCTTTGGAGAGGGCTATAATGGGAATGTAGCAGAAGTATTGCCTCGCTGTTGCACTGCTTTGCACGGCCAGCAAGTGAGTTTGTATTGTACATATTTGTGTATGTACCGTTGTGATATCACTCAAACCAACTGCACAATAATATGAAATCAATACGATTGATTGCGATTTTTCAAATAGAAATTTGTGTGCTGTGTGCCCTATCGTCTCCCCAGCGCGTACGTTCATGTGCATAAATGTAACATCCAAAAGTATGTACGTGAATAAGCCACAGAAGTGTTGCTTTGTGTCACTAAATTTTATTGAATCTTATTTCCAATTTATTTCTCGAGAGTTTTGTATGCCCGTTTAATGTTTCATATTTATTTATATTTAATTTCTTTGCTTTGTTTTGATTTGATTTCATTGAGAGGCGAATATTGCCGAGTGAAAAATATTTATATGCACAATTTTTTGTGCGATCATTAAATGGTTTTGTAAAAATAGTGGTAATATTTTTCAAAGTGCTCAAGTTACAGTACGTGTGGTTGTGTGGTGCTTCGAAAGAGTGTAAGTTATAACAAAGGTAAGGAAAGGCTGAGTTCGTGCGAGGTCGAGGTCGAACAGTAAAAGCTCGTAAAAATTGTAAGAATTAAAGTTGTGTGGAATATTTAGAGGGGTCAGCAAAGCGAGATATTTGTTACGTTGTCCTTTGCTATAGAACATGTGCCCACTGGTGTCATTCCGAAAAGCACTAAATCACAAAAATTTTATGCTCGGTGCAACACTTGTACGGCAGTATCATGTGTAAATATGGATGTAGATGTATCTGTAGTTATCGAAACCGGGAATGTGATGATATGGCACAAATGCGCACTCACGCATGCAATAACCAAACAATTGACAATGCAATACACCCATACAAGCGCACACACACGAATTTACAGTTGCATACTCATCGCTATAAATGCAAAAATTGATGCATTATTGGCTACAAGTATGCACAAAAATATTCAAGCGACGCATGAAATGGCACGGTTCTATGGAAACTCACACACCGACACATGCACATCTATACATCTATACATCCAGCAGAGCATGTGCATATGGTCTTTGTATGGACTCCTTCAGCCATGAGCACAGTGAAGCCAGCCAGCGCCGAACAACAGCTGATACACACCGAAAATCAAAAAACACTGAGAACAGTTCTCAATGGATGGTTTGGCACTGAATGGCGTGTACGCAATCAGCCTTCCGTCTGGCAGCACTGCGAATGCTTGATGGGAGAAATGGAAATAAATTCAATGGTCAATTTATTTGCAGTTTCGTTTTTCACATTGTCAAGTTGGCCTTGCGAAGCATGTCACTTACAAACCATTTATTTTTCCCTTCCTGACGGAGCTTTCGTCTCGCCCGCTTTCCCGATTTCTTGCACATTTGTTTGGTTTGGTCGGTTCGGTCTGGTTTTGTTTTGTTGCGGTAAATGTCGTTATTCATGTTTTGCTAGCATCTTTTTTGCAGGCACTCGCTGTTAATATACAATAGCTCTGTGGATATTATGTTTTTCACTTATTTTATTTATTTGAGGCATTGAGTATTGTCTTCCGCTGAGTGCATGATTTGTAAAGCAAATTGCTCGTGCTCTGGCCCTTGTACAATGAGGTAAGTAATGGTAATACATATCTACACATTGTTGCGTGATTGCTTTGGCTCCTATCATATTTCAATTTGCTGCTGTATTGAGTGCTATGAATAAATTTATTGATACTCTTGTAGAAGTTGATGTAAATTTTAGTGGCAAAAACGGTTCCAATGCTATATCAGACGTTCATTATTTTACTCCAATTGGTTTTATAACGACATTTCCCTACTCAATTACTTGATTGATTTTAGGTATGTCAAAAATAAATTGCTCTCCTCTGCCCTATTGCCAAGAAGCATTTTTCAAGCAAAAAGTCGCATTTAATACCCTGAAGGCGACTCAAATGAGTAGCAGACTCTAAATGATTATTGGTATCAGTCCCATAGCGGCTTACCTACTGAGAGGATTTGTTTGAAAATGTTTAAAAATGCTAATAGACTAATTGGTTGTCTAAAGAGTCTTTAAACTGTTGAGTGCTTACTTATAACTGGATCAACAAAACACAATACACCTTATAGTAATAACAGACCAGGGCGCCGGCATTCCTTGGTATCATTTCCGTTTATCTGTTTTGAGCCACAAATAGCTACCAGGTCGTTGGAGGAGGCTTAAATACTGCTGCGTACAAAAGATAATGCCGACATCGTTAATAACACCGTTTGGACTGCATTTATTGTCATTAAAGGAGTATTTGTCACTACTTTATACTAATTTAGGACAATTTTGCATATGTAGGGCGATAAATAGGAGTTTCTAAATATTCACTGTATTGACTTACCCATCAGCGCCGAAAGCCTTCAGCTCACGATCCAATGTTTCCTTGACATTTTGCTGCGAATAAAGTCCCATGGGGGAGTTGAATTGTTTATGAACCAATTTACGTTGAACGGTGGCCATCGCGTATGGAATCGGGTTTATATATACTTTTTTTACTATCAAGTTTTTGTACTGTTCACTGATTTCAGCTCAAGATCTAATAATTTGGTCGGTAGTGTTGGAAAAAATTCGGTTTTAGTTAAGTGAGTAAATAAGTATTAGTACGGTTATTATGTAGAAGCGTGTGAACCGAGAAGTAAAGAGTTAGAATTGTGCCCTTTGGGAACCAAATATGTACATATGTACAAATGTCGCCAGTGGTGGTGACAACGGTACTATTGGTGCTGAATATTGGTACATCAAATTTGGCTAGTCAAAAAATTTTGTTTAAAGTACTATTGAAAAAAAGTTGATTCAAACAAAATTTTTTTGTTAGTGTGGTATTAAATAGAGTAAAATTGTTTTTAAAATGTGTGTATTTTCGTAAACTGTATTTTATGTTAGGTTTTTCAAATGAGCGAGCGCATTTCGGTATATCTCGGTGCATGTGTTGGTGAATCTCTGTTCGCTTTATATAAAGTTATTTAATTGTTCATTCTGGGTTTGTTGTTGTGCTGTTTTTCACAAATATTTTTCACTACTTTTATTTATATACTGGCTAGGTGGCTTTGTATTTCGTTGTTGTTTCGAAGATCGTCGGGTGATTCGCTCTGAAAAGATATAAATAGAATATTTTATTTATTGAATTGGATGAGACACGTTCAATCATTTAACCACATCAACAATTTTTCAATATATATGTATGTATGTATTAACATATGGGCAAGTGTGTGAAAATATTGTTTGTTCTTTTTTCTGAAGATAACGGCGATACTTGAACAATAAGAAAATATTTACTATCATTTAATATAATGTGTAACTAATGATGAGTATTTAAAAATATATTAAAGAATTAAGTGAACTGGTCCATTTACATATCTTTATAGATGTTGCCCATGACGGATAAAGCAAGTTTATTGGGCTGAAAATGAGGTTACTAATTCGACCACTTTCATCAGTCGGTACAAGCCTCTGCAAAGTTGTAATAAAGCAAGTGTCAAATATATGAGTGAACGAGATACCAAGGTTAGGCGTTAATCATTGACTAAGTAAAGATTTGTGAGGAAATTGAGGTCTCCTGTACAGTGTACACCCCTGCTAAAAAATAGCAACTTTATTTTCTACTACTGTCACACTGACATTTCTCTGCCTAGTGGAATCCCATTTTTTGCCAAAAAGGGCAATTTAATTCATTTTCCCTTCCAAAAGTCTCTCTTCTCTCGCTTTCGGCGCTTTTGTGTGTCAAGGCTCTCATTGTTGCTGTGCAGAATTGATACTTATTTTGATGAAAATTCAATTAAAATTATCGCACTGCCAATTAAATTAATCCACCTGCCAATATTGAGGCCCGCACAAGCACGTACACATACTCACGCACTGCGACTATGGCCATGATACAGGCATGACGTGCTGATGCAATAAATATGCCAAGTTGTCAGTTGACGCTGCGCTCGGTGGCTGCCGGCTACTACAGGTGGTCCCTTTGAATTGCGGTGCACATGGTGTTGCACTCAAAAGTTCGTCGAATTGTTATTGCTGTTTCGCGTTTTGCCTTCATATCCCGAAACTATGTATGTGTGTTTGTATTACACAGATATACATTCATGGTTGCATACGCACGCGCTGAGCAAAGGAAGGGGGAGGCATACTTGTATATATCTCTTTTTACATTCCCAATTTATGGCGAAATTTTTATTAAATTGCTTTATAGAAAAATGATTTTTGTCCTGACAAGCGTGATATCTTGTTGAATTTGTGCTTTCTCCATAATTTACGACAGTGATCATAAAAATAAAAGCATTCGAGCACACCGAAATTGTTTAAACAAACCCTGATCGCACCATGCCTCCATATCCTCAGATATTTATATACATTCTATGAACTCAGTGCACTCAACAGAAGTGCGTAACTCAAAATAGGAACACTTCCACCGAAAATAAATGAAAATGCTCTGGATATTACGGGTACATCGTTCGTATGCACTGAACGGCCTACAAACAGACGCTCTCGCGCATACGTGTGGCACACATGCATTAGTACTGCTTTGTCCATGGGTTCAGTATTTAATGACTGTAGCAACAACTGTAAGCACACTTGCACTGTGCCACACATCGCCACCCATTCGCGGCAAGGCGGCTTTGTTCGTACACAGTTCGCAAGCGTGTTTGCACATACATATACACTCAGTGGCGCGCATTAGTTCCTTGCCACAAAAGTGCGGTTGTTGCTTGTTGCACGAAAAGCCTGGCCCAAGGTTTACACGATACAGCCAGCGCGTGACCCGACAACGTGACAACTCATTTGCTTTGTAGCATCCGCGAGGATCAAAATGTGCACTGGCTCACCTACCTAACCCACCAACAACAACATGCACTGTGATGTAAGCACAACATCATCATCACAATTACAATTATCACCATTTCAACTTACATCATGGCCCTTATCATAAGTTTACTGCTCTTCAACGCAACCCCTCCGTTCCCTGCGCTACATGAGGCAACAACTGTTGGGTGGTTGCGTAAGCTTTTGTTTCTACTAGATTCTCAGACGCATACACACACACACGTATTCCATAACTACGATACTTGTATGTAGGAGCTGTCACGTCACGCGTGTGAGGCTTCCCCCAGAAGCTCCGTCATAGCACTTATTTATGAAGCTCACTCTGGATTTTGAGATGTGTGAAGCTACTTTGTTTTTTCCTGTCTACTTGTTCTCTGTTATTTCTATTTAACTCTTCTTTTTATTTCCACAATCTGCTCCATCTTCTCCTTGTTCCGTGTCACAGTTAATTGCCTTCGGTGTTTTCATGTCGGAGTCTCTGTTGCCGTTGCGATTCACTAGGTGCCATACGCGGCAGTGGGCAACCGTCAGCTCGCTGGCCGTGTGGCGGTGGCCCCGTCGGGCGGATATGTGTAGCTGACATCCGAGCAGTCTGGCATTTTGTTTGGCAGCCGGCGGCAGGAGTTTACACAACTGCATAGAACTTCCGTATATTGTTTGCTGCGCCATTATGTGTTGGCGAATTGCATTTGCATAAATTTAAACACATATTGGCTGCGTATGCATGAAAACATTGCAGATTTATGAGCTGATACACCGAGAAGTTTTTCTTCCTGTGATTATAAAATACTGTTTCAATTAATTTACCGTTCCTATCTCATGACATTCCTTGTTTGCTCCAAATCAGAGTAATTCGCTCACAAAGAACTTGGCAGCGTACCACTCTTATATTAGAGTGTATACTATTATCATTTATTTGTATAACTAGTTTATACCTTTCCCATTCGATCTTCTTAAGTTCTCACAAAAACGTTGTCTTTTAACCTAAATATCTGCTATTGCCAATCCTATGTTTCCGCGGTATCAATTTTTAAGTTGTCTCTAAGGTTCTCATAAAATTAGAAGCCTTTGGTCGATGATAACCTTATGAGTCAAATGCGATCTAAACACACGCTCACCCTCGCAAGAGTTGTCAATTATATTTCAGCAGAAACGGAATATTCAAAACACAAGAAGGAGCTCACAACTCTTTTTTTCACCGTGCAATATTTAGTTCAAGTGTGTGTGTGCCCAAGTATGCACGATTGTGTGAGTTGTGCCATAGTTTTTATACAGAAATTTCGCTTGTCAGTCGGAAGATATGATGATCATACTCGTGTGTTTGTGGCTGTTCTCTTTTATGATTGTTTGTTTGCACTTATAAGAAATAACAAGCCATAAGTTCCAAAAGTTTTACAATGTTATCTTCATCGTTAAGTTTTGTTATCTCTTTCTTAACTTTACAAATTCCCATATCAAATATGCCCGTGTACATATGTATGTTAATGTGCGCAGAAACCATACACATTTTTATAAGCAGGAGCGTTTGCAATACAGCAAATACTCTTACATATTTCATATTCAATATTTATGTTTGTGCGCAATTTGAAGCCATAGCTTACTGGGTTCTTTTTCTATATTTATACATACACACATAGAGCAACATATGCAGATACATATGTAGTTGCAATAGAATGTGCAAATTATCTTAAAATATGACCTTGTATTAATGCGTGACGAGAGTGTTACTCAATTTGTTTCTAAATCTATTTCATTTTGGATCCTTTGGTTCAGGTTAAACGCCACATTCCAATTTACAGCATTTGCTCTCACCATAATCTACTTGTGTTCACCTGGTAACATCGGCTCTTGATCTCATCTTGCAACCGATAATTTAGTTTAATTACCTAGGTGTCAAACCCATAATAATTCCCATCAATGCCGTACTGTGGACTAATAAATTGATATATTAGATTATAAAAAGTGAAAAGAGAGGCGGTGTTGTAACTGCGTTGATATCGAAAAATATTGAATGCGCTTCAGCGCCTTAGTACTCGTAAGTGTATTACGAATTTGATGAATGCATTTGTCCTGAATAGTCTGCCTAATTACAAGCTTTCACGTGCGGTAACTCAATTAAGTAGAAAGCAGAGCCGAGCTGAGAGCGGCTCATTGCGATTCGTTGGCTTTTTTGCATTTCAATTCAAGTGGATGTCAGGTAGGCACTGAGGCTCTTCGTATACACGTGTATGTTTGTCTATATGCTTTTTAGAATGCACGTGGAGAGCTAACTGTCTAAATGCCATACAAAAGTGAGCATTCAGTTGGAACATTGGAGTTTCCAGTTGCATAATTGCTGCTCGTATTTCTTTACCACCATTGCAGCGCTGCTTTCTGGTGCGCGCATATGTGTGTGTGTGTCCTGTACCCGCCCTGTTTGCTGTGTATTTTAATGTAATCTGAGCATCTGTTTGTAATTAGAGAGAAAGAATAAACAAAATTAGTAGTGCATACGTGTGAATATTAGCCGTTTGCCTTTGCTGGTGTTTGTTGGCGTTTGGTACGCTCCTCAGATCTCAGTTGCGAGTTAATTAGTGCACAGTAGTGGAAAAGCTTGTGAAAAAGAGGTGAAGGTGAAGTGCTGGCAGCATTCGAAATTCCAGGGCAATCATATGCGCCTTTCATTTGCTTCGTTGACATTTCTGCACTCATTTGCCTCTGTGAATCGGAATACACACAGCCACGACGGAATCTGAGGCATGCTGGAGAGCATGCAAACTAGTGCCGTCACATATTTATATGTACATACTTGTATATGTTTGGCTCGAACTGCATTGAGGTAGGAGCGACCCATAGAAAGACCTTTTGTGCTGTGTATTCTTTTTAAGGAGCACACCTAGTGTGATTTGAAAATAACCTAATAAAATTTCAAATCGATTTCTGAAATAGTTTTTGAGTTACAGCCATTTAAAGGGTAGCCGCCGAGTTCAATCCGGGACCCAATTAATTTGCTGCAGCGATTGCAAAGCATTCTTGAATGAATCGGTTTTTTGATCTGATCAAACAACCAAATTTTGGGTAAAATTAATATTTTTTTAAAAACGCCGTCATTTTGTCAATTTTTGATTTTTTTATCGTAGGTCATTGTCCAAACTCAGGAGCTGTCGTTTCTTGAAGAAAGAAGCAGTCATAAGGAATATAAAGTAATATAACTTTGCTAAGCAATAAAATTTATATGGCAATATGGTTCGTGAGACGCCCACAAAGTTGCGAACTATAGGAAATTGTTAAACAGATATATAAAATAGTAATGTGGTTGTTTTTGTTTGCTCTTGTTGTTGCGCTGCTGATATATGACAAATGGCCAATTCGGGCCGAAGTGTGTTTCACATTATTAAAATACATGCACAGTCACATATAATATATTGATAAAAAACCGAAATCGAAACGGTTAGTTGTATTTGTAATACTAAAATATTGTCATATAATTAATTAATGGGATAATTAAATTTAAGTTCGAGAGAAGTTTTCTATATTTGCTTCTGAGATTTAATATTTATAATTGCTAAAAACAGATTTACAGAAAGTGTTTGGTGCAAAGTAAATTTCGTTCTCTGTTATTTTAAGAATCCAGAGAGTATTGCTTTTTGGCAATAATTATGTATATAAGTGGAGATGTAAATATTTGGATCACACGTCGTCTTCCTTGAAAGTCTGTATATATGTAAATTTTTGTATTTTTAGCAGTATCGAATGTTCGCTTCGAATTCATTATTGGCCACTTAATTGCGTTAGTCATTAACCTTGAACACACACTCACACATGCACACGTACACCTGATCACAACGCTTTGGTATTTCGGATGACAAGCACACACATGCCAGTGTTTCAGTTAAGTGTACTCGGTGAATAATAAGCATTTCAAAAATCCACTTCAATTGAAAATAAATAATTGAATAATCACTTTTTAAAAACACTTCTAAGCTAATTGAATATTAAAATATTTTCTGAAAAGTACTATTATCATAGAAATCCTACATAGACATAGAGTCTTCAAGAGAAATAAGAGGGTGCGCACCTTGACTATGAATTCACTACTGTCACACTTAAAAATTATTTTCAAACTGACATTTCGCCCATTTCCATGTTATCTACAAGCGAAGAAAAGTGTCAAATAGACCAGTGCTATACATGTACATATGTATGTGTGAAAATGAGTAATGGCTAAAAGCGCACAAGTTGCTTCAATCGCTTTTCACACGAAGACTAGAAAACTTGCAGAGAAAGCGAAAAATCTGCCGAAAGCGCAAGGTGAAGAAACCAAATTAATTGATTATTCGCAAATAGTTGATTATGTGCCGAATTTGAATGCCAGGTCAAACTTCCAGCCGGGTACAGTATTTAGTGAAAGAAAATCGAAAAAATCAATTTAGGTGCTTTTCAGAAAATGTCTTTTCGGCCGAGTTCGCATCCGCCCATGCAGTCCATGGACATTGAATGTGAGATGGTCAATATAGAGTGGTGGGCGAGTGCTCATCTGACCAACTGTTTGTATTTATTAGTTCTCAACAAAATTTATGAGAAGTAGCATATATGCGACAAAGACGCCTCAAGCGAAGAGGGAATTTCAAATTAGCAGATTTTCGAATACAATAAAATCGAAGAAAACATTTGAATTTTTATTAAAATTATGTCAAGTCCAAAATAAGGAGTATGTGCGGTCTGCATACATATTCTGGCAATACATTTTCTATAGCAGCTTTATTTGAGTCATTTTCGATCTAACATTGTGAATATTTTTTACGCAATCTTCTTGTTTTGTGAAGATTCTGTGTGTTAATTTTGGATTACGTAGCCTTCATTAGTTTGTCGAAAATGGTTGAGTAGGAGTCGTGAGACCCATACCCCTTTCAAATTACTTAAACCTAACTAAGCACATCTGAAACGTATATATGTACATAAATGTATAATATGTTTATTCATAAACATATAAATAATTCAGTATGTATGACACATGTATAAGTCAATTTGTGTCAGACTAAATGTGTACAATATATACTTACACACATTCTGATAGACGTATAGAGTATGAGCAAGCGGCTGGGGAACAAGTGTTCTGTGAATCTTAATAACAATAAATATTTTGTTTTCAAATATAAACTATGAGTATACATGTGTACTTGCATCCATAATAAGTGTGTGTAAATGTTCGGTATTTACCTACTGAAATCATATTTTCACCTCATCGCATCGAAACCCACCACACTAGTGTCTATCTCATTTTTATGAAAGTGTATTAGATGAATTGTTCAATATATTGAGTGCGAAATGTATCTTTTGGACTTTCGAAAATTATAAAACATGCAATCTCTCACACATCTGCCAAAAACTTGAAGATTAAGGTCCAGTTATGCATACAGAGCATAACACGGCCATACATGAGAACTGTCACATAAATAATCTGTTTAATACGTTTTGTGTCATTTGGTTACCGAACGCAGGGTATGACATAGAAATCTGCTGAATTTTTATTTTTATGACATGTCATCGCTGCTCTCTTTTCTCTCTTCTCGCATTGCACCTGTTGTGACACTTCAACAGTGTTCCTAACTATCAAATATTCCCCTAAAAAATAATAATTATTAAAATAAAAAATAAATTATTTTTAAAAAAGTTCTATATTCAATTATAAGAATTTTTATTAATATAAACAATCAAACATTATTAAACAAAAAATTAATTTAAAAAATAAAAATCATTTAGCCTAACCTTTTTTACTATTGCATATATATTTTTTCTAATATTTTAAGTATCGTATCTTTTTTGAATGTGCTCTGCTAAACAACAAAGAAAATTCTTACATCTTTCTTTAACAATATCTGGGCGCAAGTTTATGTGCCATATCGTGAAAATCAAATCCGAAGTTCATTGAAGCTGTGTGCATCAGATGGTTCTTGGAATTAAACTCAATCAGTTCCGAATCCACCAATTTATTTAAATAACATGATACAACAAGTCGATGCTACAAATTTTTGTATAACGAAAATAGATCTTCAAACAGTCTAGCAGGTTCAACGTTATCGCTTTCAAAAAGATTGGAAAATAATAGATATATGTCACAAAAAATGTTGTGAACGTTATCTGTAACCTATTTTTCAGTAAAGAAAATTAAAATTCAAAGTAAAGAAAACTCCTAAAAATCCCATTCGACTCTTTCAACTCTTAAATTTAGTTTTTAAATGAGTTGTCTTTTTACAATCCCTTCATATCAATGCTTGAAAATCAATCAATAGAATTTTATTTTCAAAATTAAAACAATTAAAGCAAGCAAAATCAAAGAAAATGACATACACATGTACTTTAGCAGCTGTTTCTTCATATGGCAGTAGTTATTTTCTGCTAGTAGAAATTTCACTAGCAGAAACTAGCAGCTCTCTTATAAATTTACGCTCTCTTCTGCTAGTTTCTGCTATTTTTTTGTGTTAAGAAACGCTTTTCCAGGATAAACTTTACTAGCTGGTGGTAGTCAGCAGTTAAGTTACAAAGCAAATATTACAAATTTAATATGTCACAAATTTGTAAAAATTCGTTTATCAAATAAATATAGGTATATATGTTAAAGAAATCTGATTGAATTTGATATTACAGTTATCGGAAAATAAAATGTGTAACTTCAGCAGTTGGGGTTTCGATTTAAGAAAATGCAAAGATAATCAGTTAATCAGTTTTAATTATATTTAGTAGTATGTTGAAGCGCACGTTTTTGTAGGTTGTGAAGGTTGGTTTTCATAAATATGCCAGCATTTCATAGCAAACTACCTGCGTCTATTCGCCCAAATATGCAAAGAGGCCAATAACGATGCCGTGAATGGCGGAAACTTCGCTTCTCTCATTTTGAAAACTTCTTGCAACTATTGATGTTCCCTTCCCCCTTTAATGCTGTGGTTGCTATAAATTGCCCACTCTCCTACCCCCTTCCTGGAACTTTCCCGCGTCACTGCTACGGATCGACTTTTTGGCTTTAGGTCGGCTTTCGGTGGCTGGAATTTTTATGATTTTTTCTACCTAGAATTTTATTACTGTTTTTCTTTCCTGCTGCATAAAGTTTTTATTTTTATAGTGTAAAAATATTGTGCGAATGGCGTTTTACAACTTTTTGTAATTTAATATATTTTTTCAAGATTGCGCTGTTATTATGGCTGTTGTTATCAATATTTTTATTTTCAGATTTCCTCTTTTCATCGTAATTTGTATTGTTGTTACAGTTGTTAGTGTTAATGTAAGTGTTGGTGTTGCGTTTTTATTATAAATGACTGGAGAATTCTCGAGTTAGCATTTCGCAGCAACTTGGCCGCATTGGATTTGCCACTGCTGTTGCCTGCGCTTTTGTTTTCACGAATTTTGAGCTCTCGCAACATGTTGCTCAGAGTAGACTAGTTCCGCTCACCTAACAGTTGTTTGTAACACCTAAACATTATCGGGAGAAGTGTAAGGCTAGGTGAGTTGTTTTTTAAAGGTGTAGAAACAGAGAGCAATTTAACTACGGCAATAAAATATAACACCGGGCTACATTAAATTTATGTGTGGTTCACAATTTGAATAAAGCGATCACGATCCTATCCCAACTTAGTTTTATTGTATATATACTATTAATCTAAGAGCTCTTACTGTCTCAAATAAATAATAGCTAGTTAAAATAGCCGATGGGCAATTCCCCATCCCATCCGGCTTACTTGTTCTTCAAACATTCCTTAAATCTTCGGTTCCACTCGAATGTAGCCCTGCCCTGTTAGTTGTTTCTATTTTTGTATACAGTAGACCTGGGTATGAGTGTACGTCTGTATGTCGCAGTTGTTGTGCTTGGAAAAGTTTTGGGCGCTGTTATAAAGGCGTGTTGCTGAAATTTATTTCGCTATTATGAATGTCAGAGTAACGCTGAAAATACACGAGCAAAATGAAATAAAAATAAATTGCCGAAAATCAAAAGTTGATAAAGTCAGCAGTTCCTTTTGCTATTTTTTCTCTCATTTTATATTTCAAAGTTTATCCACTGTACATTGCCTCAATCCAATTAAAGATTTTCGGCATTTTATGACAGATTTTGTTTTCAAGTCCAGCTGGCAAATGAGTTTAAAGTTTTGAAATTATGGCGTGTTGAGAGTCATGTCAATTGTACGAACTTATGTGTGTGTGTATTTAAGGTACGTTCGTAACTGATTTAAGTATGTAGGTCTTGAAGCGCCACGAGTTCAAGTGCAAGCGGCCCTCTTTCTTTAAGAGCGCCTTGGCAGAAAGAGGTCTTTAAGTTAATAATAAATCAAATGAATAAGGCCAGTCATAATGCGTCAAATTGACAACGCGGTTCCGTTAGTTATGAACTGGTATAGTGGCACAGTCAGGATTTGAGCCATGCGTTCTGCAATTGTTAGACGATCGGCCGCAAATTACTCTCCGCGTTGGTTGCTGTTGCAAAAATGAAGTGGTCATCTTCAGTTGTTTATGCAAATTGTTGATGCCAACCTTACCAGTGACGTGACCATTTATTTACTCGCAATTAGGTTATACGCGTTCACTGTGAATACTCGTTTGGCAGTTCGCTTCTCTTCTAACACAGTAGCATGCAGCATGTTGCAAGTGGCAAAGTCATGTTCCGTTAAAATTTCGCACAGCTTTGAATATATATGTGTGTGTGTCCTGTGGGCTGGAAATGTTTACGAGAACTTTTGCAAAAAGTGCGCGATATGGCAGCAACAACACAGTGTCACAGACAGCATTGGCGGACCAACGTTTGCCTTGTGATGCCTCACTTACTGTTGGTGTATCAACAGCTGCCATGGCTTTCGCGTCTGCTCCAACGAGCCAGAACGGAGTTGTCACAGTACCGCCGCAGTAGGCAGAGATGGCCGTGTCGTTGGCATTTATTGTAGGCATCCGATTGTTTTGCACGTGCCACCTTCTCCTCGTCTCATTCTTTTTCTTCTCCTGTTTATCGGTGCCATTTGGTTGTGTAGGTGTGCAATAGTTCATATAGAATGCGCGCACTTTTCGCAAGGACATACTAAGTATTCGTGGGAGCATGGGCGCCTGCGGCAAGTGGCAAGTGGCAACTAACTGCGCCTGTTCAAGCTAAG